TAAATACCAGCATTTTTGGCACCTTATTGCTATTTCTTCAACCAGCACGATTTGCACGTTAAACGCAAATTCTTTTGTATATTGTTTCCTCATCCATCTGGTAGGTAAAATGTCCCCAAGGGGATGAATAAAGTATATATCGTTCTATCTATGACATGTTTGTATAATCCCAGTTTAAGTGATAACAGCTTGGAGTAACTACTAAATAATAGCAAGTGCAATGACGTGCATTGCTGTGGCCTGTATTATCATATTATAAGTGTGTTCCCATCTTCAACAACACAAGATTCCTGAGAATCTGGAAAAACATTTTTATAAAATGCCAAATTACAAGTGACACATAGGCCAGTCAACTATAGAAAAGAGTGAATGCTTACAAAGTGGAATGGGACAAGAAATGTGCAGAGCGAAAAAAAAATAAATAACAAGCCTAACCTCCATCTGACGCATCTTGCTCAACCTCATCTCTAGCTTTCTATTTCTCACCTTCCCTCCTTCCATCCTGAAGCGTGACTCAGTTCATTGCCAGCACAGAAGACCAGGATGTCCCAGAGGAGTCAGGCAGCAGGGCTGTCTGAAGGAGGGTGTGTTTGTGTGTGTGTGTGTGTGTGTGTGTATGTGTGTTTGTGTGTTTGTGTGTGTGTGTTTGTTGGAGGGGAATGTGTTGAGGGTTTAAGCCAATCCATAGGGGGTGTGGAATAAGGCCTCTCCGCCTGTGGTGGTTACACAGTATGTGTGCGCGGGAAGGAGCGAGAGTTTGGTTGCAATAATCACATGACAATCGTGTTAAGAAGATCTTCAAGCCGCCACACAGTCCTTAAGCCACACACCAACACACACACACACACACACACACACACACACACACACACAGATTGCCTGTCAGACTTTAATGCAACTCTATTGCTTCTGGGAGAGAAACCAGAGAGCTGCTCTGTAGTTCCAAGCGAAGCTCAGATGAGCATTTAAGTCTGGCAGAGGAGCAAATATGCTTGATGATGCTGCGATGCAAGCAGACAACTCAACACACGCAGACATAGATAAGAGCCACAGAGGCTTAATACAAACCATTTCTAAAGCTTCTAAAAAAAAATTATTTAAAAAAAACGCCTGTTTGATGCCACATTACAACTTCAGTTGAGTTGAGAAGTTCACTTGTGATGACAGTATTTTCTGCTTTCTTAGCAGCCTGCCTGCACTTTCTGCTCTCTTGTGCTGGACTAGTTTGGAGGCACCGTCAGTTCGCAGCTGCAGCCTATTTAAATGCACAGTAAAGTGAGATAAAGGGTCAAGCCTGAAACATAATGCGAATCGCATCAGCACAGTGCAGGCATGGCTGGACATCTCTCTCAGCTATTTCTGCTGGAGATGCTGCTGCAAGGAAATGTGTTGCACAGTTTCACTTAAGGAAAACATCCTGTCCTAAAATATGCTGATGTGCACGCCAGTTTATTCCACCGACTGACTTTATTCTGAATGTCATAACTCCAACTAGCCACCCCATGCTGAACAAATCTCTCTTTCCTTACCTCCAAGCTACTTCACCCCGATTCTATTTTTGACTACTCCAATCCTATGAACTGCAGGATCAGCATCTCCTCTGTTATGGGGACAAATCACCCGATCCTGGATGGCAGGAGACAATACCTTCTGTAGCCCACTAATCGGACCCCCACTGGGACTGTGTGTGGCAATGTGTGTTTTTCAGGCTCTTATCTGCACACACAGCCCCTGTTGAATATCACACAGAAGCCCACACAGTCAATGAGGGATTGAGGAAACGGGGACAGGAGAGATGGAGAACAGAGAGGGAGCAAGAGAGGAAGGTGAGGCAAAATCCTCTTTTATTTTATTTTTTTTTTTACCCCCCAAAGAGCCGAGTTAACCACCTCTAACTAGCAACGACATTGAAGGGATTTCCTCTCGCTTGAGCAAAATCTGTTCTGCTGCAAGAGCACTGACACTGTCATCCTTTCAAAGCACGGTTTTCTTTTGAAATTCTCTCAGTTCAAGGGCAAAGCGACAAAGCGGCTGGCTGTAGCAAATCTCTCCAGCTGAAGAGAATAAAAGAGAGACACATAAAGAGAGAAAACGGAGGAGTGTTCATCCCATGTGTCACACAGAAGCACATCCCTTCTCCTCGACTGCGGGTCTGCGTCAGGTTGCAGGAATTGTAAAGACGATGTCTTTCACATGATGACTGGAGCGTGACAATACAAAGGCACTTAGTGCTGCTCCCGGAGGAGGAGCTCCAGGTAGCACATCTGGGACGAACTGGCTGGTGCACTCAGGGCTTTAAAGTAAAACACAGTATTGATTAATCTGCAGCTCCTCCTGCAGTCTCTATCCAAACCACGTGGCGCCCGGTGGGACTTCCTCAGAAAACACTTAGGTTTGTTTGGGATAAACGAGCAATGGTATCCATCATGGCTGGACAAACCGAAGAAACATGTCACCTAAACAGCTCTAATAAAGCAAACACAATAACTGCATACACAAATCAGCCACAACATTAAACCACTGAAGGATAAAGTATATAACATTGATTTATTTGTTAGAATGCAAAGCTGTGCTGGGGACCTTGGGTCCTGGAATTCATGTGACTGTTACTTAAACATCTTGCTGCTTGGAAACAGCTTGAGGAACATAACCAAGAGCTAAAGCTATTGACCAACCTCCAAAGTCCTCGATTCCCAATTTGATTGAGCATCCATGGGTTACACCTGTTCCATGGAGGCCCCACCCTGAAATCCAAACTGGTCAGAACTGTTTTGATGGCACGAGTGGAACTAACACATATTTTTAGGCCAGCGTTGTTAATGTTGTGGCTGATTGGTATGTTATTAGAAAGTACATAAGACCTAACTGACTCCTGACACCTATTTTGTTAAAAAAAAAAAAATGCTTCTAATATTTTCCACTGAAGTAGCTTTTTACATCTTAAGAAAAAACTAGCACTGAATGTCTTTTCCACTTCTATTTAAAATTGTAATATAATAATTTAATTAATTAATATCTTAACATTTCAGCTTTTTATTCCACATAACATCAAATTAAATGAGGTGGGAATAAGAAATAAAAGTCTGACTAATGGTAACTAGCTTAGCTGCTATGTTAGATTTTGACTGAAGGCAACTTTGTGAGCCAAACGACCTCCATAGTACTTATTTAAGTGTGTTAACTAGTAAGTTGATGAAAAGACAAGAACCTAGCAAAGCTGAACGATCATCTGTCAATACAACAACTAAAGTTGACAGTTCAAATGAACACTTCATATCTCAAGACACGAGTTCAAATGTATCTGCATTTTATTTCTTTATATATATATATGGCAGTGACTTTGTGTAGGCTGAAATGATCAGCATTGAGTCATGTTATGAAGACATCCCAACAGGTTCTATGTGCTGCACAGTTTGTCAGCCAGCCTGTGTCTGTGGTTGGGGTGGAAAAATGAACTTCAGCAACAAAAAAAACTAAAAAAAAACAACAACACCGAAGCACATCTCACTCTGTTTAACTGACAGGTGTTAAAGCTTAAAGACAGCACTGAGCACTGAGAAGAAAGACGCCGCCAAAAATATACAGCTATCGCCACTTTAAAGTGAGTTTTTTCATCCTCTACATAGATACCCATTATGCTGGGTGTTCCCATCGGTGAAGACGCTCTCCCAGGAAACCTGCGCCTGTGTTTGTGGAGGCGAATGAGACGAAATTCAGGATTAAAATAACCATTCTGTTGCACTGGAAACACAGCACCAAGTTTTGCTTTAAAGCGTTTCATCTACTTGTTGTTTTGCTCCGGATCCCTGAGGAGACACTCAAAGACCCCAATTCACAATCTGCTGTTTTGAAGCAACACCGAAGATTGGCAGCAAAGACGGAACAATGGAAGACGTGTGTGGAAGTAATTTTACATTAGAAGAGAAAAGAAAGAAATAGATTACACAGAGAGCAAAACTAAATGTAGACAACCTGCCAGTTTGACCACACTATGGTTTTAACAGCCCAAACTAAAAGCGAAATTAATTTTCTCTAATTTCCACTCAGATTTACCTTTAAGCATTAAAATGGCCTATGGATGGTAACCCCTGTGCAGTAATTACCACTGGTTAACATCTGCTTGCCTCCAGCAAGACACTGAAACCGCACAGCTCCAGGGCTATACTGTGATTTACACAACCTAACCCTGACCTCTGACCTCCGCGGAAGGAGGAAAGCTCTGCACATCTGGAGAAATCATGGATGAAATCAAATTTGACAGTTATTGAGTTCCTCGCTGTGGAAACGTATGTCATCCATGTGTTGGCTCGTTTATTTACATGGATGGCTGCTCCACAGTTATTGCAGGAGCAGAGATATCAGCTGTAATGAGACATGTCACGATCATCATCTCCTTGTGAAAAAAAACAGTGTGCATGTTAAAATATCACCTTTAAGTGATTCCCTGGATCCCACTGGGGCCACGGAGTTTGTAACTCTACAAGTTTGAAGGTGGGGATATTAGGCGTTATTTCACAAACACGTGGGGTTTGTTTTGAGTGGCAATACCCGGAGTGGAATATACTGGAATATACTAGTTACAAAGCAGAGCGCGCACACAGTGATCTTAGATTAAATGTGGAGAACAGCTCCTGTGTTGCTGCGGTCGTGCGCCACTCAACTCCCAGAATAATTTGAGAAGAATGCGTTAATATTTTACAAACTGCCATTCCAGCTATTTGTCATTATCAATATGCATCAGTGCGCAAACAGAATCCAACTCGATTGATGAATTTAAGGAAAGTTTGACTTGTTCTTTTTAATGATACCCGGCTGATTTTACCGAGCCGACTTGGAAATAAAAGCCACTTAAAAGCGCACAAGAGGAGTTTACTCGAGGTGATGTGCGTTGCCAAAATGTGCTTAAAACTGACGTGACAAGCGAGATAAACAGACAGAGTGATGATACAGTAAAACAGAAAACGGTACTTTGTGCGTCGACCCGCGGCGCGCCGTCTTACCTTGCGCTGCGAGGAGCACCAGCAGGAGGACGTTTGTTAGTTTCCCGGAGAAATTCATCGATACATCAGCGCTTGACGATGCTTTCTGTGAATCAAAAAAAAAAAAAAAAAAAGAAGGTGATGCTTGAGCGGCCAGTTGTCGTCAGTAAAACCTGCTGCAGACGTCTGAGAAGCCTCCGGATTAGAACAGAATTTTCCTTTTGCGCTCCGGTGCGTGGAGAGGTTGGACTCGGCGGTGCGCTCTGCCGACATGGACAACTTCTGCGCGTCCCGCCTCCCCCCCTCCACCACCACCACCACCCCACCCCCCGGTCCCCGCGTACCACACACCCACCCACCCACTCACCCACCCAAGGGCCAAACCTAACGACGTGACTCACTGTGACTCAGAGGTGACAGGTTTGGAATAATGAAATGGTTTTCAAATAAAGCTCAAGGTTCTGCAAAAATACTCATCCTAAGAAGTCATTTACTCTCACATTGAATCTATCTATCTATCTATCTATCTATCTATCTATCTATCTATCTATCTATCTATCTATCTATCTATCTATCTATCTTGATAAAATGTAAAAAATTTCTGTGGAAAAAAAGAACAGAAACTTTAAATTATCTTCATCCCTATGAATTATCCACACATCTACTCAATCCAGCTCTAGACAAAGATGCAGCACATACACACACACACACACCTACACACACTAAAGATCACATATTTTCAGTACTGAGCTGTAAATGACCTATTTAGTCACTTAATTGATTTTGTATGCATAACAATGCTCAGGCAGCTTAAAGCATTAGCTGCTCTATAATAGAGTCTTGAAGGCTGCAGAGTCTGCCCAATTCGAATAATGGAAAGCCATTAATGCACGGCAGGGCTGCATTGGAATTGCACTGAAATGATTCTGGAGCACGCAAGTCCAGACTGACTACTGACTCATCTTTAAAGGAAGAGGCACGAGTGGATGGGCTTAGATTCCATACATTGAAGTAAACGTTGGGATTCATTTATTTTTACTGCAACATCTTTAATCCACATTTTAGCTCTGTGCAGTAGAAAGTTAAAGTGAGATTAAAGTAAAGTGCAACTCTTTTTTTTCCCACCCTATCAATGTAAGTTCTTGCATGCATGTTCTTTTTTCCCCACATTCATCTTTTGTTAAACTCGTGTCCTGCGTGCAGGTACACGGTGCATTATTTCATGAACTAACAAATAACAGGATGGACAGAAAAAGCTTTTAGTTGATTTGTTCCTTAATATTTTATGAAACTATGTTCATGTGTGCATGCATATGGAACACATGGACTCGAGAGTATGTCCTGATATACTGCCCTTTTCTGTTTTTTTCTTTTTTAGAATCCGGCAGCTTAAGATGTGTTTGTATCTGCGCCGCCATAAACCCACTTATGTGTCGGAAACGGCTGCTATTTCTGCTTCTCGAGTGGAGCTATACATACATACGTACTCCATCTCTTGTGTACACGCATAGCTGGGCAGGCTTTGGCATACGCACAACAGGGAAGAGTGCTGCAGACAGAATAGAAGGAGACAAACATGGTTTTCTAATTTCATTTTATGGAAAACAGCTCTGTCTAGTTCACTTCAGGGTGAAATCAGATGCCCTTTAATTTCTAGCTACATATAGATTAGACACTCCTTTACTATGTCTGGCGCTGCTTGTTGTACACTTTGCTTTGCATGTTACCACAAGTTGAACAATTTGTTTCAGAGCAGTTTAATGTGACAACAGGATCAGTGAATCTGATGCATGTGTGCTGTTTTCTGTCAGTGCCATGCAGGTTAAAAGCTGGCAGGTCGAAGCCAAGAGGCTAAAGACAAGTGGAACTGCTCAGTCCTCAATTTTAAGCTCAATTAGTTTTGTCGTTGGGGAGTGAAGTCAACCGAGGTTGTTGCTGGGGCTTCGGCGGGGAAAAGCTGCAGTGATTAAGTGCCTCACATGGGTCAGTATGAGCCTCTAGAAGAATGAAAGAGAGAGAGAAAGAAAGCAACGTACAGTATAAAGAGGGGTTTTTAGGAGAGAGAGAACAGAGAGGGTGTGATCAGGGAAATTAAAGGAATATGGGCAGATCAGCTGACCAGAAAATGGTAAAAGAAAAAAAAAAGCTCACTAGATGTGATGTAGTGAAGAAGAGAAGAGAAGAGAAGAGAAGAGAAGAGAAGAGAAGAGAAGAGAAGAGAAGAGAAGAGAAGAGAAGCAGCAGCTTCTTGATGTGCTTCAGTGTGACAGAGTCAGTGAATCTATTTGCAGAAATGTATTTTTTGAATTAGCAAGACACAGAGTAAAGCTGAGGAGGAGTCTCCACCCACCGGCCCAGAGTGGAGAGAAACAGGAACGCTTTCTTTTTCTCTTTCATTCACACCTGCTTGTTGCTTTTCTCCCTTTTCTCAGATTTACAGGGTTTTTGTGTATTTTTTTGTTCACTATCTCTTTTTCTGTTGCTCGATCCAGCTTTAAAACAGTAAGTTCAGCGACATGCTTCACGCCAGGTAACAACGGACATTTAAAACCTTCTTGATATTTATCAGCAAAACAAACAAGCAAAAAAAAAGCAAACATTTGGAGGTATTTCTTTGTGCCACTGAGCCAACTGAGAGGTCAACTGAGATGTTTCCTAGTAGTGACCCATAACTGTTATGTTTTCATCAACAGAGTAATGAAGGAGGTTTTTAGCAATGATCTGTTTTGAAATCTGGTTTGACTAGAAGCCCTAAAGACAGAAAGACTTTGTAAATGTACGGTTTTCTGACATCATGTCGATGGTAAAAAAAAGAAGTATTTTATTGTTTCTAAAGTACACTCCACCTGCTTCTTATCTGCCTCCCTTCCTCTGAGATTAGTTTCCATTTAATTAAGGAATTAAAAGGGCATTAGGACAGACTGCATTCACAATCCTCATTTAGGAAAAAAGCGATATTTTGTACTCTGATATCATCTAAAGGTATCAGGAAACAGTGATAATGCTGCTGTGTGAACTGTAGCTACTGTGTTTTAAACAAACAATAACAAGCACTGAAATACCAAAGAAAAACATGAAGTTTCTTTAATTCTAAAGAACATAATGAGAAGTAATTTAATTTAAACACAGCATACCCCTCATGCATGTAGATGCTCAGGTTTACAAGAGGCAACTTAATGCATGTATTAGTGTGCACATACTGCGTGTGCACCAGTATGAGACCGCACACAGCAGACTTTATGTGCTAACATACTCGTTTAGATCCAGCAGAAAGAGACTGTCAGGTGAAGCAAAGGAAAATAAAAATGGGATTCATTCAAAGAAGACATGCGTAGCACCTGCAGCGATTCAGGAATTAGTCAGGCCCCTGCTCCATAGTGTCACAGCGCGTAAGCAGGTGTTTGAGCAACGTCTCAGGCCGAGGTGACGTCCCAGCATGCTTTGCTCTCCGTAAGAGCAAAGAAAAAGGGGGAAACATTCCCTCAGCTTCTTCCTTTCTGTCACTGTATGACTTTTCTGTCTTTCTGAAAGAAAAAAAGAAAAAGAAAGGCTGAATTCCAGACGTCCACGCTCCAGAGCTGCAGACTGAGCCTGTGATGGGTTCACTGTCCAGATGAAATGTGCAGTGATTAGTTCAGTGTAATTTTATGGTCCTTAATTGTAGACCAATTGATATTGGCAACACATGCATGGCACGCAGCTCTGATTCATTACAGCAGCCAATCCAGATATGGACAGAATGCCTTTACAGGATCTACCACAATGTTATACAATGAGTAAACCCTGAAGGATCTTGACACCATGGATGGACAAAAACAGCCTTTTGCCATTTAGTTTTACATATTATAACACATCTAGATAAGTCTGTGTGTGCAATATGAAACCTTACTGCATCAATAAACTTACATACATAGCAAAACCAAAAAAAAATTCAAATATCTTCAGAAATAGACATGCTACCTACCACTGCAAGTCTGAAAGTCCAGACACTTGTATTCAGCCAAAAGGAAAATGCAAGTGTAGTTAGAGTGTGTGTCAGACAGGACTGTCCTGGCTTATCCACATCAACCCTGCACATGTTTTCTTTCTTCCTGGCTGAGTGTATCCCTTTTTTTTCCCCTATGTGCCATCCTCTTCTCTTGTTTTCATGTTTCTCTCGAACTCAACCTTCCTTCTTATTTGGGTCTTTTCTCTTTCCAGCTAAATGTTTTGGGTTTCACTGCACACTTTGACTTATGAAATACAGGTGGAACTCATGTTATTATGAAGTGCTGGACAGTGCTCATTGCTGCTGCCATGACAATTCAAAAATGTTTTTACCATTTACAGAAGAATATAAAGGGAAGCTTAGAACAGTGGAGATCTATTAGGAGAGGTCAAAAGCCAAGGGCATAAGAGAAAAGAGCACAAGACGGTTTAGTGTTTCCATACCTAAATAAATAAAACGTTTGTTCTCATTAGTTGCTTTTATCCCCTCAGCTGGTCACTGGCTCATTTCATGACTTGTCAGTCACACTGAAGAGGTGTCTGCTTGTAAACAACCTGTAGTCTGACGTTGCAGCAAATCTGAGCCTTTACCTGTATTATTGATCAGGTTGTGTCTGTGGCAAATTGAGCTTCAACTTGGATTACAGTTAACCACTTTTTCACCCAGACAGTTTTTCACTTTTTCATCCATCAACCCTACTGAAGAGTTCTTTATGTATTTTTGGCTCAGTGTTTCAGTTTCATACTCCACAATACTGATGTATCACTCTTACAGTTTCCCTTATTTTCGTCCATAGCAGACACCTGTTTTCTGCTCCGATTGTAAAACTATACTCTGTATACTGCCCAGCACCAAACAGGAGACAGAGGAAGTTAGTAAAGTTATAAAACTTTTGCAAAAGCAAATATGATTTAAAGGAAATAAAATTATGAGAATGTTGCATTTTTTTAATGACATTATTAGGAAATGTTGCAAATTCAAATATCAGACCTGTCACAAAAGTGTTGATTTCAGGTTTTAATCAAATCTTGACAGATGTGACTTTTTTTCTGCCAGTGTATTCACATTAACAGTGTTGTTAGCATTGTCAT